GCATTTACATGCAGACCAGTCACTTGCTTGTTAAATATTTTTTAATCGGGTCTAGTGACTTATTAGTTAAAATGTAGCAGTGGTTTAAATGTGTGCATAGGAAACAGTGACAAAAAATCTAGTTAGTTTTCTGTAAGTTTTTGATGAATATTTTATTTTTGTTTTAAATTATAGTTATAGTAAATTTATTGAGTTAGCCATTGCAATTGCTAACTAAAACTAAATAATGTACAGTATTCAGTATTTATTACAAGTAAACATGTAAGTAAACATTATAAAATTTACAATACAGGTGTTCTTTTAGGGTGCAGCTAAAAATTAATTAACTCAGAACAGAATACAAAAAATCCAACCTCAAAAGTTCGTGGAATTGCATCTATTTACCAAGTTTAATTGAAATCGGTTACCGGAAAGTGCGCGAAACCGGATTCATTCACTAGTTTGCCACCCGTAGAGGTGAATATTTTCTTCAAATTTAAATGGGACCACTACTAACGACACAACATTTTTTGTTGGCAACAATCATGGCGTTGAGAACCGCCTCCTTCATCTCAAGACTTTTAAAAATAGGAAACGAGATAAGTAAAAAACAAAACCAAAAACTTAATTCTTTTTTTAATATTTGTTTTTTCAAACAACGTTCCGGGCCCTTTACAGGTCCCATGGCCACGGTTATCATGGTACAGTTATCAACCAGTTATATCTAATATTAATGCAAACCACCCTATTTTTCGCCATAGTTATAAAGGTTATTAATAATAATAATAATAACGCACACACTCAACATAGCCCCGCACTAGAGAAACCCTGTATCGCGGGTGCTATGGACACGCACATAGACAACCACAAATAACATCCAAACTCACGAGAGAAATATATGTAGGCCATACAAATATTTCGAAGGTCATATTACAAAATTGTAGACTACGTGTTAGATAAATATGTATGGAAAGACAACGTGAGTCTAGATTCCACACAAATATGATTAAAAATGTATTCTATAGCATTTAAGTTTATTTGAAAAGAGCAAACCCTAGAGTTTCTTTCTCGTTCTTCTCAAGGAGGCCAGCGTAGTGAACGAGCTTAAAAAATGACGTTTTCAAGTGTAAAAATTTTACCTTTGGAATAAATGATTATTTGACTTTGACATTGTCGTAACGGTCTAGTGGGAACAGCTAGACACGACAGTCGTTCAACAATAAAATAAACGTTCACGACACAGTCACGACAGATAGTCGTGATATGGGAACAGACTAAATGCGACATCGTTCAACGATAAATAAAACGTGACGACATGATAGGAACTCACCCTTACCCTTCTAAACTGGAACGCAAGGTAAGGTGGCAGTATTTCCCTAGACGAAGGCTTTCACAAGGAGCTCTACTGCTCCTATATTTCTTTGTATTGGTCCCATTTAAATTTCAAGGAAATATTCCACCTCTAAGAGTGGCAAACTAATGGTTTCGCGCTCTTTCCGGTAACCGATCTCAATAAAACTTGACAAATAGAAGTAATAATTATTAATACAAGATCAAACACTCAGAAAAAATTTCTTCGATCCAGCCGGATTCGAACCGACACCTTCTAGCATACCGTGGTATGCTAGAAGGTGTCGGACGGTATACCAACTAACACACGGAACGAACCAGCGGACCTCACGAATTTTTCTATGTATTTGTTGTCGTGTCTTTGTTTCAACGTATATCGCATGTGTTCTTCTTACAATGTTATCCGCCTTGATTTCGATATTTTCACTGGTTCTCTTGTCTCAGCTAGGAACTCAATTAGAAAATGTCTATTATGTTAACTACACGACTGACTTTGTTGAGTTTTCTTAAAATACTTGAAATGTAGAGTTACTGTCAGTGTTACAGTTATTTTGGCCTGTTTTGCATGTTGTGTTCACATCAAGTAGGATACATTCTTATCGTGTTACTATATAAATGAAATATTTGTAGTTTATATCTAAATCGTATCCAGTTTTGTGAACCGAATAAAAAAAATAAAATAAAACGTATAATTTGTGGTTTACTATTTGTGTGTCCCATGGCTAACCGCGATATAGGGTTTCCCCACCGCGGGGTTATGAGTGTGTACGCTATTTATTTGTATAATAAATTTATTAAAAAACAAAATTAATTGTTTCAGATATACCAACTGGCGCGTAAATGCAAGAAATAAACAATCAAGAAAACATACAGGGTGCTGTTAAAACAGTCTGGAAATTTATAAAAGATTTTCTATACTTATATTTCAAGTTTGCTCTTTACGCATTAGTTATCTACATTCTTTTCTATTACTACGACTATTATTTTGGTTAAATAATAAGTTTTTTAGTTATAGTTACGTCAGTTACAGTGATGTGAAAGTAATCTGAAGTTTTAAAGTGACTGTATGTGCTAAAAGAATAATTGTTTCGGATCTGTTGGTGATTTCGTTGTACGAGGACAATTTGGTGAGTAATAACTATAATAACAATAAGGAGGCTCTTGTCACACACCCTTCTCAACATCGAGTATATAACCAGAAGTAGAGACGAAATAAGGGCCATATATTCCTGGTAACACATTAGCGATACACCTCTTATAAATATCAACTCTCGTTTGCACTGAAATATAGACAGGCCAACTACTGACCTGTGTGTACATCTCCGTATATTCCAAAAAATATTCTGTATTTATTGTAATAAAGATAATATAACTAACAATGCCGTGCTGTTCTATTGGGTGGTGTGGGAAAAACAGTAAAACATCTAATTACAAAACAAACGGAATCAAGTTTAATCGGTAATTAAATATTAAATATGTAATTTTGCAATTTTTGTCCACTATAGCAAAGCTCAAGTTAACTGGTCGATTTGAAGTGAAACAGTTGACGACACCCGTCAATTGTTTCGAACTCGGGCTGGCCAATCGGAGCGCAGTTGTCATCGTAATGATATGGCAGAATAGTTATCAAACAAATTAAATGACATTTCGTCTCTATTTCTGGTTATATACTCGATGCTTCACATAGATACACATCATACTGCATTGATTTTGATCCATAAGCGTGGTTAAAACTCTCCTACAACCACCAAATTTGAGGAAATTGCAATGGCAGTTGAATGGTACCTCGATGTCTAGCCACAGACAAATCAAACGCATTATAATGCATTTTATTTATAATTTATTAATATAAAGATCGAACACTTAGAAAAAATTCCTTCGATCCGAATTCCAACCGACGGCTTCTAGCAAACCGTGACAGACGCTATATCAACTAATGTAGTTGGCATCTAAAGGTCATGTGTTAAAATATACGTGGAGGATGGAAAACCTTCGTCCAGGGAAGTACTGCCACCTATTTCTGCTGTCAAGCAGTAATGTGTGTTGGTAAAATTACAGGCATGTGGGTCTTCTTAACTTATGTCTCATGGTAAATGAAGATATAAAAAAATTAAAGTACTTTCGTGACTCATAGCCATTCTGTATAACAGTGGTAGAAAACCCGAAAATAGTACGGTAAAAAACCCTATGTCCAGCAGTGGACGATTACAAAATGTGTCAATTTTTCCACGCTTTTACCAGTAATTACTCGTAGTAACTAACTAAGTGCCTCCGTGGCCGAATGGTTACCATGCTGTACTGCCAGGCAGAGGTACCGGGTTCGAATCCCGAGCCGGGAGAAATATTTGTATGGCTTACATACGTACCCATGGCATCTGCGATACAGGGTTTCCCTAGTTTGGTATTTGTTAAAATACTACCATTTTACTTATTTCTGCTGCCAAGCAGTAATGTGCAAGAGGATGCTGGTAAATTGCAGGCACATGGGACTTGTTTATATATATATTACTCTGCTTAGCTTTCCTACATCTCAAAGGTTATCTGGAAGAGATCGCTCTTAGCGATAAGGTCGCCTTCGCCCACACTGCTTTTGAGGTGTCTATGTAGTGTTTTTGTTCTTGTGAGTGAACAATAAAGTGTATATCTATCTATCTGTTTTCTCTGGTATAACAGTGATAAACAATAGAACGGTAAAAAATGCTATGTCCAGTAGTGGACGATTACAAAATGTGTCAATTTTTCCACGCTTTTACCAACAATTAGTAATACTTGTCGTTTAAAATTACATCAATTGTTTGTGGATGGTATTTTGTAATGGCCGTCTACCAGCTTGACCTCGATATAGACTTGTGACGTAAAATACTGATATTATGGTTTGCAATTATTTTGCATAATGCAAGTAGTTGTAATTTTAATTTAAAAACTATGAGATACAATATTATTGGTACGCACGGTCGAACAGCTGAGTAAACAAGGAAATAATACGCATTTGAACATGGCCCCAATTCCGCTTGCACTAATTTTAAATCATCTTAGTTTTGTGTCGATGCCGTAGTCTACTAATATTATAATATTTATGTCGGATAGTCAAACAAAAGGGACAAGTATGTGAAAAATTATTTTACTTTCATAAAACGAACACGGGAAGCGTCATTTGTGTACCGTGCGACTCCTTACCGGCCGCGTACATGGCTTCCCGTATACAGTACGTCCCTCGCTTTGACACGCAGTTCCAGCTACCACATAAGTTTGAGCGATTGAAAAACAGTATTTGGTAAGTCCATTAGGGGACGAATTAGTACGGGTTTTCGTAAGAAAGCGTCTCTGATTCGTCACGTCGAGTAATTCGAGAATTAAAAACTCAAAGGTCATACATAGTTCAAACGAGATTGTCTCTTATTGTTTTCAGTAAACAGTGCAAAACGCAAATAATAAACACGGAAGCTATCTCTCCGTCTCACCTACACTACTAATAAACACCTCCAAAGTAGACAACTCCAAGCTCTAATTAGTTGCATGCTTGGTGATATTAGCATGTTTCTAAATAGACCAGAAATAATAATATAAATAACAACTGATTTCTCGCGACCGCAGTGTCACAGTTCATTTCGATCTTGCATGTATTTTTACGTAATTCGCGGCATAATTTCTAATTAATATCGTTTGTGTTTGAGTTAAGGTCATTTAAAATGGATGAAGAACGATTTACAAGTCTAGTTAGTAAACTTGTGACTGATTTTCAATTATTGAAGTGTGAAGAAACGAATGACGATTTCAAAGTGTTTACTAGACACTTACCATCACTTACTTAATTTTTATAGTATATTTTGTAATAGATTTAATGGATAACATTTAATTTTTGTCTTCGAAAAATTATTTCAGACTGTAATAGCACTTGTTTTTTTCTTAATAAATTTATCTTGTATTTGATAAAAACTGTTTATATATATATAAATATTGATAATATTGATAATGATCAATTTTGTAATTGCATTCCTTTTAACTTTAATAAATACATAAATTCTATATTATAGCAGATATTTTGTTTAAGTATTTTCTCGAGACGTGAGGAATCAGAGACGCTTTCTTACGAAAAGCCGTAACCTAATTCGAGATGAATGTAGTGGTCTAGTGGACGTACTAAATATGGGTTTTTAATGGCTTGAACTTATACGGTAGATGGAAAGGCGTATCTAATTCGTCGTTTTGAGGGGACATACTACGGTATTTCAATTGTTTAGCCCCTTAGAAAAGCGTATCTACCGCGTCTCTACTTGGAGGACGTACTGTATACGGAAAGCCATATACGCTTCCCGGCCAAGGCCTGCAAAGTAAATATGAAAATTCATTACAGTGCACATCTCTAAACTTTTAAATCTACCTACTAATAATGAACAGTAAACAGGCAAAAGGAAAACTCATACAGCCAACTGCTGAGTGTGTAGTTGCGAGAATTAAAAATACCTACCTGTACCGCTTACTTAAAAAAAAGAAAATGGCGGTTAATCACAAACTAAATTGTTTTGGTATTCTTTGTTTTTTTGTCGTTTTTGTATTTTGGTTGCGAATATGAGTGCTAGTGAGAAGAGCGGTAACGAAAATACTGAAATCAGAAATCAGAAATCAGAAACATTTATTGTATGAATTGGTAAAATACAGGTGTTACTTATAAGTGATTAGATCTACAATTCTGACCCAAATCAGGCGTACAATGTCTTAAAATTACGATTCAATTAAAATTTATTACAACGTAAATGTCAAAAATTTAAATTATAATTAAGTTAGTTACACAATTGTCAAATATTTGATGTCTTTATATAAAATTCGTTAATATTGTAAAAAACTTTGTCAATTAACCATTTTTTTAATAAACTTTTTAAAAAAAAAATAACTGTAATACTTCAAGCTACACATTGACGTATTTTATTCCGTCGCACTGGAGGCGATTTTCGAACAAAAATGTGTAGTCTTTTTTTTTTATACATGACAGGCAAATGACTCCACTCCACCTGATGTTAAATGGAAAGTGGTATCCAAACGCGAAGGAACCTAGTGCAGCGATGAAACTGGGTGATCGTATCTAAACGCGGGAGTGAGAGAGAAGGAGTGTGTGTGCCGTTGTCCGTACATTCAAACACCATTAGAACTTCAGCAGTCTACTCTATTAATATGCCTGGAAAAACAACAACATTTTCTTTTAACAATTGTCGTAACACGTCAAATAATTTTAATATTTTTTTAACTCTTTCTATTAAACACCTTCCTCTCTTTAGGCTTTTACGATTTCCTCACAATGTTTAAGAAAACTTCTATACATGCCTCGGCGGGAACGAGGATTGCTTGACTCGTATTAATACAAGGCCTCCTGTAACTCATACTTGTCCAGCAATCCCTTATTGCCCGGCCTCTGCAATAATGTATTATATTATTGCCGCTTCCTATTCCATCTTGGATGTCCATCAAAACAAAAGCCCCGCGCGCTCCAGTTCTCTTCTTCAATTTCGAATCCTCCCTTTCTCTTGCACACTCCTTCCCTCTCACTCCCGCGTTTAGATACGATCACCATACTAAAAGACTTTCCGGGCCCAGACAGATTTTATGACCTCTGGTTGTGGCATGTGCCTTCCCAGTATGGATCTTCGTAAGCCCATTGGGTGAGACGATGCATAGGAGCGTCATACAGTGTTTGGCACATTACGCAGCTATTAGGGCTTTTGAATTCTCCTTGAGAGTTCATACAAGTATGTACTGCATGTAAGTAAGGTTACTTATGTCTACCGCCAAGCAGTAATGTGACCATTACTGTATTTCGATTCTAAATGGTAAGAGTGCTGGTGAAATTATAGGCACATGGGAATTATCAACTTATGTCTAAGAGTGACAGGAGCAGTGGCATTGCCCCTCAGATATTTGCGATATAATTGGGCACAAATATGCCAACTGTATTTGTTTTGTTTTCTATATTGTTTACGTCTGATATCTGGTAATGTTTCATAAATAAAACAACAAAAAAAAACAAATAAAAATAAAATAAAAGTACCAATTCCCCCAATGATTGCCATGAGCACCCAATAGAATTTGTCGAGTTTTTTTTAACAACCGGTAATATTAAACACATACTTATATG